TTTCTATCATTCTATGAATAATACAGATATAATACAGGCAGTTGGGTGGAGCAGTATTAAGAATTAATGTTGTTAATTCATAGGATAAGCATTATTTCACCAATATTCATTTAAAATGCATTTGATAAGCATCATATGCCCAATGCTGTGAAGAGCCCCAAGGGTTTTCAGACAGTATTTGTTAAATGACCAAAGGAACGAATAGACTTTATTTCTCTTTGAAAATGTAGAGCAGTTATGTATATGTAGAAAAGTGTGTGAAATTTTGAATATTGCAAAATAATTTAGGAAATTTGTAGTTTAGGTTCTGACAAAGACAGGTGGACCTTTAACCTGTGGTGTTGTGATAATTTGAAACAGTGTGAAAGGATGAATGTTGGTATAATGTTCTTATGGAATGTATACAATTTATCATTGTTCATTCAAATGCTGATTTCTCTACCCCACTATCCAGTTTCAATCCAGACATTGCATTGTGATGTTTATTCTAAGCATCACCTGTCTCAAGTTTGTGTAAACATGTCACTAATTGTTCTCCCTATTTTCAATTAAACTACCAGCCAATGCTGTGCAATGGAGAGAATAGGGTGGGACATCTTGGTCAGGAGGGGAGGAGAAGGAAGTGAGTGGGAGGAGTAGGAAAGCAGAGATCAGCAGGAGAGGTCTTGGAACCATGAGGAGAGATGAACCGGACCTAAGATATGACTAAAGGCAAGTATACTGGGTGAAATCTGAATGGTAAGAAACTATATGGGCTTGGAGGTTTAGGACAGAGTGATCATTGCCCAGCATTGTGCTCTAGGTTAATTAAATAAGTCCTAATATCTGTGTGGTGATTTGGGTATACAGCTGGTTTAGGAATAACTGCTGTTTAACTCCAGATAAATCAACAATAAATATTAATAATCAACAACAGATGAAAGAACTGGCAGTTGGCAGGTGACTCATGTGCCAAATACAGCAGACAGGGACTGGGGGAAGGAGGCATCAGAATGGTCAGAAGATTATTCAAGGTCTATAAGGTTCTGTCACCCTGGAGAAGACAAATCTGCCTGAACCATTGCTGTCACCTCATCCCTGCCTGGCTTCAACCCTGCTGCTTTGAGGAGTTTGAGTCCTAGCCTCAGGTGGGACCACAGCAGACAATGAAGAACCACTCTCAGAGGTTCAAGTGACGCAGTGAAGTGAAAAGATGCTCCTTCTGGAAAGACTCTCGTGTCTGTGGCAGAGTGTGGATTAGTGAGAGCAACAACGAGAGTACCCTGAAGGAAAGGTACCGAGTGCCTGACCTGTATTCCTGCTGCTCTTGATGCTGGTAGTGATCAGCAGGAACAGGGCTAGAGCAAAACACATTGGGCAGAGCAATTGGGCTAGAGCAAAACACATTCCATTCTGGGTAAGACTTTTTCAGTCTTACCCAGAATGGAAAAAGAACATGAAGCATTTCATGGGGATTTTGATCTGGGGTATACATGGCCATTCTTGCAGACTTCTTCCAGGGATGTCACAAGTCTAATATGAGCATGAAGCCTTTAATGTTAAAATTTGCTCCTTAAAAACGGTTTCCTACTTAATATTCTTCATCTTTTCCTGAGATTATTTGCCATGTTTATGTGACACAGCATGCTCACCTGGAAGCAAAAGTACATTACCAGTAAACCCGATACTTTTCTGGATGTTTTATCTGTTTTTGTCACTTAGCAAAACACGTTATCTGTAAGCTACATAAATATAGACTTTCCCTTTTAAATGAAAAGTTGAGTTGTTTTGTTTCTATTTCTGAGCACTGACTAATGCTTCCGAGAAGAGGGAGGAGAGCATTTTTGGTTGCTGCAGTTCTTGGTATCTATACATACTACGACCCCTGCCTCTCTCTGCGGGCTAGGTAGAGAGAAGCCTTCTTTCTGCGCTCTTGCTGCATATACAACAAGAGTGATCTGGGCGTCTTGGAAGGGCAGAGGCATGAGATGTCCTGTCACTACACTTGAACACTTGTTTCGGAATGATTAGAACCATAGCCAGACAATCTTCTGAAATTAAACTTTTGTTCGTTAGGGTGTATCTATAACTTATTTTAAGTGAGTTGTTAATCAGCTCTCTTTGATATTTCTGATATCAGTGATGCCTATGATGGTCTCACCCCCAGTGGCTGATGACTAGAAGGCATGGAAAGCGAAGTCCAGACTGCGGAAAGAGTGAATGAGGTTAGGAAAGGGAGCAGAAGCTCCTGCTGCTGCTCACTACTTACTTTATGACCTTACAGAAGTTTTTGCCTTCCAAAAGCCTCAGCTTTCCTATCTATAAAATAGAATTCTGGTAATGGTGCCATTTCTTGGACAAAGTGAGAACATAACGTAAGAATGCAATGGGTGATGCTGTGAGGTTATGGATATGTGATCCCAATGCCAAGAACTGCCCTTCTGTTACATGAGCAAACAGCAAAGAAAAAACATAGAGTGGGGCTTATTCCACCTCAGAGCTTGAGAGGTTTCAGTCAGGAGGTTTCAGTCAGTAGTCTTTGGATCTGTTGAACTTGAGCCCCTGTGAGGAGGATTGTGTGGCAAAGACTGCTCACTTTGTGGTGGACAGAAGGCAGAGAGCGAATATGAAAGTACTCCCTAGTGGCCCACCTCCTCTAAAAGGCTCATCTCCTGTATTTTATCACCTCTCAATATGGCATCATATATTGAATCCATCAAAGGACTAGGCTAGAGTTCCCAGGAGGAGAAAGTTCATAATAATTGGGCTTATAGCAAGTGAATTTGCTTTTAGGTTAAATATAATTTTGTGGAGATGTGGTGGTGCAAGACTGTCTTTGGAAAATGTGCACATACTTAAAGGGGCATGGGATTTAGATCTGGATTCAGATATCCATCACTGTGACCTTAACATCTCAGTCCCGTACCTGAAACTCTAACACTCACCATAGACTTCTTAGGACATTACAGTGAGGTCTAAATGTAAGAATGCCTCCAGTTAGACTGTCCTGAGCCTCTTCTTGCAAAGTGTTTGAGATATGTGATAGTCAAGGTTTCCATAGAAAACTAGTAAGTGTTGTGAGATGCCCTCCTAATTCCTAGGTATGGTGAAAGGGAGGCATGAGAGAAGACAATGCACTCAGTTCTCCTCTCCCCACTTCAGTGTGGAGTCAGTATTCTTTGAAGTGTGAAATACTAGGGATGACAGTGTGTCCAGGGCTCTACGTGCTTAGAGGTCTGATAAATTCCTCAAGGAAGCTTTCAGAGCTGACGCTCTTTGCTTATGCATACCTTTTGTTATTGTTACTTGTGATATAGCTTAGGTTAGGGGCAGAAGAGAAAAACCACACAAACACACATACACAAACACACACTCACACACCACCACCACCAACAACAACAGCAACACAAAATAAAAGCTTGTTTCAAATAAAAAGAGAAGCATTTCACAGTTCTGAGAATTAAAAAAAAAAAGGGAAATTTTTTGAGAAAACAAATTACACTATTAACCTCTGTTAACAATGCCCTGATTCTTGTGGTGGTTCGAGTGTATCTCTGTCTGACTAGAAATACAAATATTTTATAAGCAGTTAATCTTAGCTGTTTCTAAAAGGGAAGGATCTTTTTCTAATTTTGTGGTAAGAATGTATAAATGTAGGCACGCATAATAGCATCTGTTCACTATTTCCTTTAATGGTTTACGAGGAGGATCGCCAGTAAGTCATTCCTTAGAGTCACTTCTTTTATGACTGTCTTCAGAACGTAATAAAAAACAAAGATCAAGGTCTGCCAGGAATGGCGGGTCAGGTTTCAAACTGAGGAAATAAATACCTGTGGCTCCCTGCCCCCAAACCTCACAATAGGCTACCGACAATAGAATCTAAAAAAACACAATTGGCTGTTTCAGCTGTGGTGTCACTAATACCACTTTGCTCTGCTGAAGCCGGACTTGTGGCCCCAGGTTCCTCACAGAGTCATGACCAGTCATCTACGCTCAGGTTTTGCCTGTGGCCACAGTACTGTGCTGAGCTCCCTATCGGCAGAGGCTGCAGAAGAAGAGGTGAACAGTTTATGTCCTGTGCTCTCCGTGCTCAGTGGACTGTCCTTCATATTTCCATTTTGCAAACTTCTGCAGATTGGTTAGAGAGCCTTCAGAGTGTGTTTTTGTGATGAGAATGCTCAAGGCTGAAAAGGACTTCCCAATTTCTCCCAGAGTTAAAAGCTCTCTTGGGACTGGGGATGCAGTTCAGTCTGTAGAGCTGCCTAGCATCCAGGATGACCTGTGTCCAGTCCCCAGCACCATATCTCCAGGTGGCACCTTCCTGGAGTGTCGCACTGGAGAGGGACAGGCTGGAGCTCTGCATGGCTCCCTGGCCTGGAGGTAAGCTTCCGTTGTCTTTGTTGGATTGTGTGTGTCTGTGTACATGTGCGTGTGAGTGTATGTGCATATGTGTGTGTGTGTGAATGTATTCTGAAGTAATTGGGAAGACTAGTGTCAATTAAAACTGAATATACCTATCCTTGAAAGGCTCAATGACTAGAACATATTTCATATTTTTTCCTGAGTGCATTTTCACTTGTATTTTACTGCAAGTACGTGGATAGCTGTTAATGTCATTTATTAACATTAACTCAATATCAGAGACTTGCATGGTCTCTTGAGTTCTGGTTAAGAGGGAAATGGCTCAGTGGGAAGGATGGAACATTGATGTGAGAGTAAGGCAGTGATGAGTGTTAGTGGTCCATTGTATAACACAGAAAAGCTTTCATATGCATCCAGCCAGAGAAGTAGACAATAGATGCTCTGTGCCACACGGAAGTTAGATGTCAGATGTTTTTCCTGAGATATGTCTGCACACAAGGTTTTGTTTACAAGCCTTGTCCAAGCAGACACGGTGCCACATGGATATACAAGGGCCACGGGAATAAGGCAAGCAATGCTAATTTCTCTAGACTGGGGGTTGCTGTGAGGTCTGATGCGAACTCCCAAAACCTGACCACTTTACTGGTGTTTCCTTCCAGATGCTGCACAACAAGCATGTGATGGTCCGTGTGGGAGGAGGCTGGGAGACCTTCGCGGGCTATCTGCTCAAGCATGACCCCTGCCGGGTGCTGCAGATCTCCCGCGTGGATGGCAAGACGTCCCCTGTCCAGAGCAAATCCCCAACCTTGAAGGACATGAACCCAGATAATTACCTGGTGGTCTCTGCCAGCTACAAGGCTAAGAAGGAGATTAAATGAAACTGGTCTCTAAAAGGCTCATTTAATGGGCTACATCCATTCTACAGTGTAGCCAGTGTAGTGCACATGCTCTGAAAACCACACATGTCGTCAGACTGGAAAATACTAAAATGGTAGCACTATTTATTTTTAATGCATCTGTAGAACTTCACCTAAGGGGAAAAATTCTAAACTCAGAATGAAATCAAATTGTAAGCAAATCGTATTTCTCAATATGTGAACATAGTATTTAGAAGAAACCTTAGTAGGAACTCAGTTCTAGGTATAGCCATAGAAGGTGAACATGCCTCCGAGACTGTATTTTCATCAATGGGGTAGGTCAACAGAAAGTGCCTGCTGTATGTCTAAGAGCTAAAGCACCCCAGACACTTTTATAATGGTGGGATTTTATAACTATTTTTTACAAAATGACAATGTGATAATGTGCTACTAAAATTGTCTGACAGCACTTACAGTACAGAGTCCTCATAGCCATAACACTTAACTGGAAAGGCCACTTCAGAGATGTTCACATTCACGTGGAAGATTGCCTTAAAGTTCGTCTCTGATCCCTGACCAAACCAGCCTCTGGGGTACTTTTGGTTGTTGCCTGTGCAGCCCCTTAGGAAGAGCAGGTACCTTTCACACACACCACAGCTGTCTTAGCATGATCACTTACTGAATTGTGCACGCATAAGCCAGCGTGCATTCACATTGTGATGTGTGGACTGCACAGTCAAAATGTTCATTAACTTTGTGATTTTGTTTATTTCAAGCATTTTCTTATTAAAAATATATATCTTTAGTTAGTCCTATTCTGCTATGCTGTCTCATGAAGTAAATTCACTGTAGTAAATTCACTGATATTACAGGCTTGTATACCAGGACAGGGCTGTTTTGTACCAATGAACAGCAAGATATTGTCCACATTGATTTAAGAATTAAAAACAAAGAATTAAAAAAAAAACCCACACATGATCTGTCTGTGTATCAGTGCTTCATCCTAAAATAAAGTTAATCTTCAAACTACTAATTTCCCAGCAAATATGAGGAGTGTCAAGTTGTGGCTGCGTAGAATATCTTCATGTCGGGAAGGAGAATGTGTGGTGTTTGTTCTCACTATCAAAGAGTGTGGACTTGACCACAGGAAGGACCTTAAGTGTCACCATGAAATTTTTAAATGGCAGAGCTAACTTATTATTTTACTATTTTCCAGTAAAAAAAAAAAAATCTTCCTTGCTCCAGAATCTCACAAAGCATTTGTATGACATATGACCAATGCAGTCAAACAGCCAGCCTGTTGACAGGGAGCGTTTAAGCAGGCATGGTTAGTGACACTGGGAACTTGTGGGTCTAGAAAAGCCTGTCAGTGCAAAACTGAAAATAAAACCGACAGCTTTTTTGCTAGGAAAGATGATTTTGGCATAATAACTCTATCTTTTGAAACATATGACACTTAGTAACTCAGTCTTTACTTCATCAATTAAAATTGGCATTCAAATTTTGTATTATTGACATTCTTCCTTTAAAACTTTCTGTGTTTAAAGTTTATTTTCTTTAAAAAAATTTTTTATTAATTACAGTTTATTCACTTTGTATCCCAGCTGTAGCCCCTCTCTCATCCCCTTTCATCTCCACCCTCCCTTCCTCATTTCCTTTCATGTTCTTCCCCAAGTCCACTGATAGGGGAGGCCCTCTTCCCCTTCCCTCTGATCCTAGCTTATCAGGTCTCTTGAGGACTGTCTGCATTGTCTTCCTCTGTGGCCTGGTTAGGCTGTTCCCCCGTCAGGGGAATGTGACCAAAGAGCCAGCCACTGAATTCATGTCAAAGACAGTCCCTGTTCCCCATATTAGGGAACCCACTTAGAGACTGCGGGGCCATGGTGTACATCTGTGCAGGGATTCTAGGTTATCCCCATGCATGGTCCTTGGTTAGAGTATCAGTCTCAGAAAAGATGCCTTTGTTCAGATTTTTTGGTTCTGTTGCCACAGAGGGCCTCTAAAAGACTACCCAGCAGGTATCGAAGCAGATGCCGAGACTCAGCCAAACTTTAGGCAGAGTGCAGGGAATCTAATGAAATAAGGGGGAGATAGAAAGACCTGGAGGGGACAGGAGCTCCGCAAGGAGAACAACAGAACTAAATTTTTCTTTTAATAATGAAAATTTAGTTATAAATAAGTGTAGGTTAAAAAATAATAACTCATTAGAGCATGAGTTATCATTTGGTAATTCTATTTTCAGAAGTGCAGTATGGTCTTGCTGACCTTAAGCCAAAGTGTCCTCAAAGCTGTGCTTCTTTCTGCACACTTCAGGAGAGAATCCATTTATTGGCTTTTCTACCTTCCAGGCAAAACCTGAAATCCTTGGCTCATGGCAGCAACATGGCATGACATTACTCAGACCAATCTCTTTACATCTCTTCCTTTGACTAGAGGGTGGGCAAGTCTGTAGTTCTTAAGACTTGTGTGATTAGATCAGCTATACCTAAGTTAACCTTTAAAAATACCTTAGTAAGGCAGGGCAACTCAAGAGTGATGAGGTTAGGCCATGACATACTTAGGGAACTTAGAAGACTGTTAGATTTATATGTTATCTACTGTGGTCTTTCAGGTGTATCTAAGGATAAGTTAAAGGCTAACATTGGGGACTAGTTGCTGGCTGATCTGTCCCAAAAGGGATATGAAAAGATAGGACTGCACCCAGAAGGACATGACCAAATATAGATGGCTCTTACTGAAATGTCAAGTCTCAAGAGGTCTGGCATCAGTTTCTCAGCTAGGGCAACATCCAAGGAAAGCTTATAGGACAAAGATAAAAGATTGAAGTTCTGAGTGTTCTTACAACCCTATGGAGAGCAGCATCCAGGTAAGCAAGCAGACACAAGGCCACAGACATGTGGCAAAGCAGCTGAAGTATGGAGGGTGGAAGATTGGTATAGCCTCTGCATGGGAAAAGATAGCAAAAGCAACCAAGTAATTGACAGCTAGAAGTAATCATTTCCAGGGTTAATTTTTACCATCAATACATTTGCTGTGGTAATTCTTTGTTGTCTTTGATAGCTATTGCTTTGTGGTTAGCCATGAACAGAAACTGCTACTCACAAATGTAGCTCAAAGAAAGGAATATTTTAAGAAAAATTTCCCAGGTTGCAATGCTCATTTCAGAGTTTCTGGAAAACATGTCACTCAGAAGGAAATATCTCTTTCTTCCCTTAAAATAACACACAAGTTAAAGGCAGTACCACTAAAGCATCCAGTGCTCTTCAGTATCTAATGTAAGTGTCACAGGCTGGTAAAGGAATTTATGTGTATTTAGTTCTTAAACTGTGGTAGTCATGTTTGCAAAATAAACCATAAAAGGAAGAACAGGGTAGTAACAAGCCACAATGAAGGAGAACTGAGAGCTCAGGTTGGTGACAGAAATTTATGCAACATAAACAAAACTACTTCAAAAGCCTGCTATACACACAAGTGGCTTTTGTAGGTAAGTTTATGTCGGTGACGCTGTCTTTTTTGTGTGATTGGTTGGCTTTAGAAAATTAATGCATATGACCTCATTACCTATGTATTACCTTATTATTTCTCTATATATGAGTCAGGTTACAGTGTGTGGTATGTGTGTTTGTGTGTAATGTATGAGAGAATTTGAGGTGTTTACTTAGAAAAAGAAGCTAAGGAAATAGATGGCGAATAATAAAGAGATTTGCAGTTGGTAACTGGTTGACATTCTGAGAACAATAGACTATAAAATTCTCACCTCTAAATAGGGTGTCTTTTTCACCCACCCCCTCACATTCATGGATCACCCTGAAAGAGGGGCAAGCAATTGTAAGAGTAAGGGGTGGTGTTGAGGACAAGGCAACTATTTTCTGGACAGAGATGGGAAGTTGCACATATGAGCTTACAGCTCCTGTGACACTATGTGCAAGCTCAAGCAAGACAAAATCCAAGCATCGTGTGAGAGGTGAGCACAAAATCCCACCCCAAGCTAATGGCATTGGAACAGATGTTGGAGAGGAAGAGGCAGGTCGACATTTGGTAGGTCAACCAACCTCTAGGGCAGTCCCCACAACCAAGAGTATTTGGGCAGTACAAATTCAACTCCATGGTTAATATGAAAAAGGGGGTGAAGGAAAGGCAATGATGTTGAGTGGATACGGAGATGGAGGTTGATCTGGGGAAGATCTATATAATCAAAATACATTATTTTTAAAAAGACATACATTCATTTTTCTCTCAAAAGAGGAGGCAGGCACATCTACCTAACTCTTGTCAATCCGTTAAATTATATACTTTATTCAAAATCGATCTTTCATCTTCCAATAACACAGTATAATCCTTATCAGTAAAAATAAGTAAAATTTTTGGATAATAAAATCAATTCAAATGTCAGGTCAGCTTCCCAGGGTCCTGGGGATGATGCACAGGGCTTTATATCCCAAAAGGCAAGTGTAATAACAATATAATTAGAGTTCTTCTTTACAGGCTGAGGAAAAAAAAAAAAAAACATGCCCTCTCCAGGCAGCCATTAGTTAGCTATCCATTATTAATCTCAGAAAAATGGAAATAAATGGAAATGCTCCCTAACTACAAAGACAATCCCCAATTTGTTTAAGACAGAGTAGAGGCATTTTATTTAAAAAGATGACTTGGGGGAACTTTTTTTGTAGAAATATGTATATTCATATATCCAAAGGCAATGCAGAATGTATTACATGTGGGTTCACAGTATATTGGAAAACTAATAAATCACATTCCAAGTATAACTGTAATACAAACTCAATACATTTAAAGAGCCATTTACAGATATTCCCAAACATGTAACTTGTCATAAAGACCTTCTGTATTGATACATGGAACTCTTTTATCATAAGCCATATTAGTTTCAGGATTAGAATTAAGACTGCAGCTTGCATACATTGGTCACCTTCCTGCATTTGATGGCTTCTCTTGTGTTTTAGTAATTTGACCATAACATTTGGAAGATACATTCAACATCATTTTTTTTTTAATTTAAGCTGTAAGCTACAGAAAACACACCTCCACATTACTATCCATAACCTAAGCAAAATGTTTAGATGTATTTTTAATAGCCATTCCCTAGCTTTTTATTAGCATCCTGTTTCCCATTTTCCTCTTTTTAATCACATTCAGGAGATTCAGGTCAGCATTTAGTGCCTATGACATATGTGGCCTTGGAGGGAAACTGAGCATATCATCATATCCATGAGGCAGGCCATAGCCATGCACATGGCTTTGGAATGGCAGAGGCAGCTCACAGCTGACAAAAGCAGTGCATCCTACTTATCCTAAACTAGGAATATACTTGTATGTCACATGTGCCTCTAGAGTAGGGAGGCATGCCTTATGGTTATAAATACAGCACTACCCCCTGAAAGCAAGCCTCCTCTTTGCACAAGCCACATTCTAAGTCTTGAAGGTGAAGAGAAGAGAATATGATGTCTATGTTAATTTGATGAAGGCTTCCTGTAGTCAAGGCTAGTGTGTGCTGCCTCTTTCCATTCAGCTATTAGATATATGTCCTATGTTAGAAAGATTAATTACCAAGATAAATGAAAAATTATTTCTAAAATTTAACTCACTGACTTCACTATCATTTATGAAGAAAATATCACTAATCTCTAAATGAAGAAAATTGAGCTGATACAATTACATGCCTTGCCTAGATATCAAATATTTTGGACAATAGAAAAGTAATTCTTCAGGTATCCTAAGACCTATATTACATCTCTAACTCTTTAAAACCATGTGTGACACGCTATTAAATACCTTGCTGGAGGCGAGCCGATGGCTCAGTTTTCTTTTATGCCTGTGACCTGGCCTAATTCACTGAGATTCCTGACTGGCATTTACAATCTATAAAAATTCTACAGCAGGGTTCAGGTATTGGCACTATAAAGTCTTAGCATCTACAGTAGTAGCATCCTTGCACCCTTGCGCTTTTTGCATCTTTGTTCATTATACAGTAAGAAAACAAGCCACAATGTCATAAATCAAGTCTAACGAATGGCGATCTGTGCACCTCTTGTCTTACTATTACATCAAGCCTGCATGCTTGAACTTCCCAAGTACAAAACTTAAATATTTCTATTGCATAATTTCATTGGCCACATCATGTCTTTATAGATCTTACAATTACTCTTTAATAAATACAACAGAATACAGCATGAAATTTAAATAAATATATATTTAAACAAATATATTATCACTCATTATCATTAACCCAATTCTCAGCTGGCATCATCCTTTCACTGCACTGACCTTCATGCTTCTGGTAGAAATGTCAGGAGGTCACTGTACTCTGATGGCCTACTGACATGTAAATTCACGTTAATATGATATGCCTTAGGTACAGAAAATAAATTACCAGTTAACATTTGCCTACAAATATTCGTCTCTTAGTGGGTTATAAAAATAAAGACTTCCTTCACCTGAAATCCTTCAAATGAATCTTTAGGATTTTCCCTGATGATCAGCTTAAAGGCACTAGGTCTGGAAGCAGAAGTCTTCCTACCCAGGGAAACGGAGCAGGCAACAGGCTGTGCCGTGTGGCTAGGTAGCACAGTCACTAACAAAGCAGAGGTATAAGCACAAAGTTAATCCTGAAGATATATATGGGGCCAGGACACACCATGCATATATACCTTTTGGATCCATATTTTAACTACAGAAAATGGGACAATATTTCCTGCAGAAGAGAAAATAAGTGCAGCAAAAGTGAAATACAAGGAAAAGCTGGGTCATTTTAGTAAGCCTGAAAGTTAAAAATTTTACCAGTAGTTTTTAGTAGTTTTAGCACTGCACTCAAGGGTACTAATACTATGGTCTGACGCTTAATCTTTGCAAAGAGGAGCTATTTAGCTGAAATCCATCCGATTGCAGATGCTGGAGTCAGGGGCAGAATTCTCCTGCAGTATGACATGCTTCATGACACCGTCCACTAAAAAAAGTGAAGACAGACAGGCATCAGTAAATTCTTATTTAAATTATATAATGGTATTCTAAGGAACAAACAAAAAGTAAATTATGGGACAAAGGAATGCAAAAATGATTTGCAAATAGCCACTAGTAATACAATTTTATCTTACAAACAAAAATCTGAAATAAGACACCACCTTAAAACATACAGGCAAGACAAGCTTGTCAAGTAGGTAAAAGGATTGCCTTTGATGTACCCCATTCTCTTGGATGGACACCCCTGTTCTCTGACCTGGAACTCCCTCAAAAGCCAGAGTCTGTAGGGCATGTTAGCATCCTGGAATGGGCCAAAAGAGCCAGCACCTTGTTATTGGATTTATTTGAGTGCTGGAACTACATGAATCATGTTGTCCCCAGGAAATAGGGCCCAGAGTGAGCTGCTTCCTGGTGGCCCTCCTTTGTAGACCCCAAACAACCTGAAAAGCTGTCCTTGCTCAGAAGACATCCCTAGGTTTCTATTGTCCCATGAAGCTTGTCCATGAGTAAACTAATGGCATATACCTGTTCACACATGTGAGAGGCTATTCACCAGACTCAGAACCTGGCAAACACTGAGCCTCCATCATTAGCTACATCCCAAACACTCAACACAGTGAAGAAAAACACAACATCAGTAAAGACCAAAAATGAAAACAAAAACAAAAAAGAAATTCTTTCTTCTTGAGTCAGGTGCAATAAAGAGTACTTATTAAATAAGTTGGGTTAAGATCTTTTCCTTTCTTTTTTTTGTTTTGTTTTGTTTCTTTTTTATTTTTTATTAATCAAAGTTTATTCACTTTGTATCCCAGCTGTAGCCCCTCTCCCATCTCCTCCCAATCCCACCCTCCCTTCCTCTTCTTCTCCTGTGCCCCTCCCCCAGTCCAATGATAGGGGAGGTCCTTCTCCCATTCCATCTGACCCTAGTCTATCAGATCTCATCAGGAATGGCTTCTTTGTCTTCCTCTGTGGACTGATAAGGCCGTTCCCCTCTCAGGTATAGGTGATCCAAGAGCCAGCCCATGACTTTTATGTTAGAGACAGTCCCTGTTCCTATTATTGGGGAACCCTCTTGGACACTGAGCTGCCATGGGCTACATCTGTGCAGGGGTTCTAAGTTATCTCCAGGCATTGTCCTTGTTTGGGGTATCAGTCTCAGAAAAGACCCCTGTGCCCAGATTTTTTGGTTCTGTTGCTCTCCTTGTGGAGCTCCTGTCTCCTTCAGGTCTTTCTATCTCCCCCCTTCTTTCATAAGATTCCCTGCACTCTGCCCAAACTTTGGCTATGAGTCTCAGCATCTGCTTTGATACCCTGCTGGGTAGAGTCTTTCAGAGGCCTTCTGTGGTAGGCTCCTATCCTGTCCCCTGTTTTCTCCCTCTTCTGATGTCCATCTCGTTTGCCTTTCTGAATGAAGATTAAGCATCTTACCCAGGGTCCTCCTTCTTGATTAGCTTCCTTAGGCGTTCAGATTTTAGTATGATTATCCTACATTATATGTCTAATATCCACTTACAAGTGAGTATATACCATGTGTGTCTTTCTGCTTCTGGGATACCTCACTCAGGATGTAAGATCTTTCCCTTTCTTGATTAAGAAAATATTTTATTTGTATTTTTGTTGTAGTTAAGTAAAAGTATATGAAATCTGTGATACTAAATTTTAGAAAATCCTCCAAGTAGGGACAATAAATATTCACAGTTGCCTAAGTACTACTTTCAAACTTTATCCAAGAAATATTTAGTGCTAAAGTTTTTAAATTACTATTTCAATACATTTCCAAAATTAAGGGTTGATGGGGTTAATTTGCTGTTCTTTATTACAGGACTTATTTGAGGCCTATATACCTTGGGTCTATAAAAGAGATGTGCAGGGATGGCGAGAGAGTGCTGTGGTACAGAACATGCACTGTTCTCCCAGAGGACCTGAGTTCAATCCCCAGCACCCACATTGGGTGGTTCACAACCACCTGTAACTCCAACTCCAGCTCCAGAGTATCTGATGCCTCTGGCCTCTGAGGGCTGCTGCACTCATCTGTACATACCCACATGCACATACATAATTGAAGATAACAAAACATAAACCTTTAAAAATGAGGTGGTATAGTCTATAACACATTTGGGATATATGCTGTATTATTTAGAACTTTTAAACATAGGTCTCTGTTTGGAAGTTTCTTTTAGACTATTGTTAATTCACCATTGGAAAGTCTCAGTCTGGCTTCACGCTGAAGCTCCACAGGGAAGATAGACGTTTCTGTGCACTTCCTCCCTCTCGGGGACACTGCACATGAGCAGGCACAACCCTGGCTTAGACCTCAGCACTGCATGGTGGCCACTGCTCCTGCATCACCATGTCCTCTGTGGAGGTTGTGAACTCTGATGTGGGTGTGGATCCCAGTGTGGGCAACACAGGGCTTCTTCAGATAAGATCCTTTTCATAAGACTCTGAATGCCATCTACGCCACCTCTGGGGACAGGCCAATGGTGGATATATTGACATTGGGGAGGAAACTCTTTTCTTCCTGGTCTATAGGGTCTTCCAGGCAATACACAAGACAAGGCGACACTGGAGGACCCAGGCTGGAGAACTGAGCCACTGTCTGCATTGTGTGGGCTCCTGTTACTCCTGAGGCCTCAAAACATTCTTTTTGAACTCCTCGCTGGTCAGGTGCCTCCAGGGAACAGGAACACACTCCCTGAAGCTACTGGTTAACCATGGCCAGGACAAGCACACAGTGGGGGATGGCTTGTTTCTTTTGAGAAAACCCTACAGATCCTTTGCAGCTTGATGCTCAGGACAGTTTACTGGGGAAATCAGATTTTGTAAAAGAAACAGCATGAAAAGAGAAAGGATTGTCCTGGAAACGTTTTTGGTTGTGAGCTCTTTCGAGAAGCCTGAAGTAACATGAGTCCTAGAAGTAACACTAGGCCTGAAGTAACACGAGGCCTATCTTTCCAATCTACAAGCTTCAGAATGAGGAAGCTTCAGATTTAAAGAAGAAAGTTGGATTCTCAGCCATGAAGAGCAAACGGTAGGCTTGCTGGGCTATCACATGAAATAAATGTTTTTCTTAATTCTGACTACATACATGATGGCTAAGGCAACTAAACTGAGTACCTAGCCCTCTCTGTGAACTTAATTCAGCACCTCTACTCCCAACAGGAAACAGTGGATCTCAAATTACTTCTCGTGCTATGATTTACTTTTTCTCCTTGTTTTTGAGTATACAATTTGAATTTAACCTAGTGGCAGCTTTTTATCTTAGCAGGAAAAAGAAAGAACAAACTCCTGACAACAACTGATCTTGTTATCTATTAAAATTACAGTAGTTTTACTACTGTCCTCTTTTCAAGTCTAGGAAATACTATCGATAACAACGGCCATGGGACATAGCTGAATACTGAACCTAACTGTTTTATGAGTTAAGTTTTCATTTATTCATTAGTTGACACTGGATGAAGTAACTTACAGTGGCAGACAGCACGGGTAACTGCCATTGCGAGGAGGCACTCATGGGCCTGGACCAACTCTGCTCAGGGTGGTTCTAAGCTTTGCCCCACAATTCTAGCCCACATATATGTCCCGTGTAGACATAGATGCCTGATAGTATTGTGTGGGGTTCTGAGTGAAAATCAAATGAAATTTCAGAGGAATTAACTGAAAAGCTGAGAGCAATTAAGGGCATTATGCTTTTCACAATTATTTTGATGCTAAAAGTAAATGTGCCTGTGAAATGTGTCTGTAAAATCACAACACCTGAACTGTTATTTTCCTGAGCAGCATCATGTACAGTAAACCTGTACATTCCTGCTAGACTATGGCCTCCAGTTGAAGGACCTCCCTATTTTAGCTTGTTCATCAAGGGCACATTCAGAGGCATAGGTCTATTCAGAGACACAGACATTGGGAGGAGTATATACCACTCACTTGCACAAACTATCCTCTAAATTCACGTTTGACAACAGAAGGATCAAAAGTCTCTAAAGCCTGGATGGACTACATGGAAGGTATAGGAAGGTCAGGAGTTCAAGGCCATCCTGGATTACATAGTTTGTTTGAAGCCAGCATGGGCTACTGAAGACCATGTCTTGAACAGGTTGCAAACTGTGGAATGAGAACATTAAAGCTACAAATGAGAAGTTCCAGAAAAATCCAATTTCTTGACTTATATACAAGCAGAAGTTTGACACATCTGTCAAGATCACAATTGGGTACAATTTTACAGTTTCAACACTGTCTTACATTGCCTGATTTTTTTTTTGATATACTGATGATTAACATTATATATAAAACTATTATTATACTGTGCTTAGAAGGAAAATATATGATTTTTTTTTTTAAAGAAAGCAAATCTAGTCCAATAAGGTTAAAATAAAGACACTGCCTCTAATCTTTGCTCTGTGTTTTCAGCTTACTTGGAGTCATTCTCAGGTCTGTCCAGTTACTGAATGGATTGCCTAAATACTCACTCTCAGTCCACCTGCTGGTGGCCCCGATGCTTCCATCTGCTTTTCCAACTGTTCTTTCTTCTTCCTCTTTGCCTCCACCGACTGAATATCCAAAATCCCCCGAGATGCAGCCTTTAAGAAATTCAACAAGGGGTGATTGCAGGAAAACAAAACAAAACAAACACAAAAACAAAGTATCTGTTGTCCAAAGCTGCTTGTTCTGTTTTTTAGCTTTTCCTTTAGGGGTGGGGAGTGGTTTTGTTTGGGTAGCAGGGCAGTTTGCCACAACAACCTTGGATGAAACACAGCTATTTCTTTAGAGAACATTTTTCAACCATAGAGACTTCTTCCTTAAACCTAGTTCACACACACTCATCAGCACGGCATGTTCATCCTGAGGAAGAATTCTATTGCAGGACAGACTCAAGTGGGAAATCGTCTGGGGCTGTTGTCACAGTAAATGATGTAAATGCATGCCTTTCATGGATACTTGGACATCGTTTCAAGAGTGGTTGTCTCTGAGTATAAAACTGTGTGTGTCAGCAGGCACTTTGCAATTACGGAGTAGGGCAGGGCAAACATTTGAGAAAGTGAAATAAACCTTATTGAGTAGGCAAGCAACTGTATTCTCACCTCCTTTTGCCTTCTTTCCGCCGCCTCTGCCAGCTTTGCTCTTTTCTCTTCCTAAGAAAATACATAACACATGTTTCAAGAAAAAAGTCAAGTTGCATGAGCCCCTTACACATGTTTACTTTAGAGGCACAAGAATAAATAATAACTTACAAATAGAAACAGTTTGTATGCAAAAAGCCTCGCGAAGAACGGCCCTGCAAGGTTCCAGCAAGGTGTGCTGGAACTACAGTCCTAGATGCTAGTTTTGTGAGCAACTGTACATAGGATTGCTGGAGCCCAGTTCAGAGCTAGTCTGAGCAACGTGGTGAGAGTATACCTTCACCCAAACAAAAATAAAGCAAAATAACCCCCAAGTCTATTAAATATTTAATATTTATTAAATATTTGACTTTCCGAATTTCATTCTCTAGATGAACATACCAAATTAGCACGTGTCAAAAATATAAGCTGGCCTACAGAATACGTACTTCCTATAAAAATGGACTTACAGTGGTAACACATTTTTTTAATGATGTCTAAGCCATAAGGATGGAAACATAACTTGAAAGTTAGTCTGGAAGGAAAATGAAGTGGCTGGAGTCCTCAGCACTAAGAACACAGCAGGGAAGTACAGACACCGTGCATACAAAGCTCTGACCAGAGCATGGACACAAATGTAAGCAAACACACGTGTAAACGTGTATCTGAAGGCAGTAATTACCAAGGAAGAGATATAATGATAGTGGTGGGAAAGGAATAGGAGGGAAGCAGCTGAATGTAGAGCATGTTTCTTTAGGTGGCCAGGGAAATCTTAGATACTAACAGTTGGCCCTGTGGTTAAGGGAAGAGGACGGGAGGACAGATGGCAGAATGATATTTTTTTTAGGAGCTACACAAATTTAACAGCATTTTAAAACAGCAGCCAAAGGCAAGTTGAACTTTCCTACGTCGACTAAACACTTCAGTATCTATAACCTAGTGGCTAGGAGATTAATATACTTCCCTAAATTCCTCATTTTTTCAACTAATTTTTAGCTGCTATCCCAAGAACCAAAGAACCGAGAACAAAATTATATCTTTATATTATCAAATACGGGGGGAAAGTATTAACATAAACATACTTTTATAGCATAGGGTCTGTTTAGATTCGAATATCAAAACTTGACTGCTTTCACATAAATATATCCCAAATACAGCACTACTCAGAGTCTACACCTAAACGTATTGCTCGTGTATATGAGGTTCAAACCTAGGCAGGACCCCGGCTGTTACAAACTGAGTAAAAGGAGGACCCGGGTTAATAAAATATCCGCTGGATGGCGGGGAGAGCAGCGCGTCCAGGACCTTCTAAGTACAGCTGGTACAGACACGAGAAGAGGCACATGTCGGCAGCGGCCCCAGGCGACAGGCCATTCCCCAACCGTCCAATCCAATGAGGGTCCAGCGGCCTGGCCGGTGTGCCGAGTGCCCGGCTTCACCGCAACGGCCGTCGCGAGCAGGGGCAGGGCGAGGCCGGCTACTCACCGGGCTCGGGGACGGCGGTGCGGACTCCGCGGGACACGGGAGGCACAGCCCCATGGAGACTCAGGCACCCCGCGCGGGGACGCCGTTCTTCGCGGGGCGCGGCAGCAGGCCCCGCCCCCACCTGGCTGGCGGCAAAGCCCCGCCCCGCCGCCGGCACCATCACAGGCTCCACCCAACTCCAGGTTCCACCCCTCTCCAGGCCAGCCCCGGCGCCAATCTTCTTTCATCCGGTCCAGCATCAAGTCCCGCCTCTGCGTCCCTTATGAGCCCCAGGCCTCCCATGGCAACGCTCCACCCATCCGCGGGAAGCCCCGCCCCGCCGCGTTTCGGCCACACCCCTTTCCCTAGAGTCGCGGCTGACGCAGGCTCCGGCCACACCTCTAGCTGTCAGCCAGCACTCCAAACGGAAGGCCGCACTCCCACGCCCTTCCCACAAATCAGCCTTCCCTTCCCAGACTCCAGGCTCCAACCTTCGGAGGCGGGGTGGATCTAGCGTCCTCTGGAGCTGTGAGAAGCCCGGCCGCCCCTGGAGCTCTGCGCATGCGTACGTTCGCACCGCTAGGCACCTGCCGAGTTCGCAGGAGGCAAAGAAGGAGTTCTGGCCTTTTGAGGCCCTGAAACGCGCATTTCAGGGTGCTGTCAGCTACCTTTTCGGCTTCCTAGTGGGAGCAGCACTGTGTCGCTGAGCTGGTGGGACGAGAAAATCGCTGCTCATCTCGTCTCAGAGACAGCCTCTCGCGACTCACTTTACCCTCCAGGGACCACCCAAAACACTTCAGTGCAGTGCGGCTCACATTTTAGTAACCATAAGACTCCGCTGGCATCTGGTTAAAGTTAGACTGACAAACGCTAGGGCCAGGCCCTAGCATGCCCAACGCATGTCTCCCCACACCAAGGCTTTGCAGTTATTCTGACCAGCCTGTGTTTCCAAAACGCAGCTGTTTGCCCTCAAAAACAGCGCGTTTATTCTTTTAGATCCGACAGTTGCCAGGTATGTAACAGTGTTTCTGTCTGCCAGGCTGTAAACAGTGGTGTCCTTTTCTAGTTTTCATTTTTTCTTTCTCTTTTTCCCTCCCTTTTCTTTCTATCCTTTTTTATTTCTCTCGTCTCTCCGGGGATTACCACTCACACATATTACACTTAAGTGGACAAATGCTTCTATGTCCTTTGGTGAACACACAGAAACTGTTATTTGAAGTTGTTGCGCCTCAAAATAGTACAAATGTATTTCATACTTCTTATAGACATGTATGAAAATTTACCAAACTTCGATATCTTTCTAATTATTCATCTCTGACCTTCCTATTTAGAGAATTTACATTAAAAATCTTTCAATTTTAAATTATTAGCCTTAGGATGCCTTCTCTTAGCCTCTTAGCACTTCTCTAACCCAGAACTTTATCGAGGATCATTGTGTCATGACTTTTGAAATATAACACGCAGAAATAGTGCTTCCAGTTCCACATCTCTGTACAACCCTGGGTGTTTGAATCTTGGTTGCCAACTTCACACCCAGTTAAGGAATTTCATGTTGGCCTGTGGGCATGTCGGTGGGACATTTTCTTGATTGACAATTACTACAGGAGAGCCAAGCCCACCGAGTGGTAATATCATCCCTGGGCAGGAGGGTCCTGGGGTGTGGAAGAAAGATAGCTGGACTTGAGCCAGGAAGCAGTGTTCCTTCCTGGTTTCTGTCTCAAGGCGTGGCTTCCCTGGGTGATGAATGGGAAGCTGTAACAACAGGCAAACCCTTTCTTTCCCGCATTATTTTAGTGTTCTGTCGCAGCGGTAGAAAACTAACAAGGTGTGTAATCACTCCTGCCTTTTACTGCGGTGCACCTGTGCTGTCTCCTTCTTAATGTAAACACTTCTCTATTTAATTCTATTTCAGTTTTCCCCTCATATCTATTTTTTATTTGACTTATTTTAATTAAAACTGTACTACATAGATGGAGGAAAAACAATATGCAATGCAAAATGTTTCGAATTCTTTTTCTTGAGTCGAGGGCTATCCACAGAGGTATTCCATGATAGTTTTGTGGTGGAAAACTTGGAGAAGCTTTCTGTGAATAGGAAATAGTTACTTTCTAAGAAAATAATGTTATACCAGAATAGAAGCTGTGTAGGTTGGCTAGCAGCCTGTTTTAGCAGGCTTTTCCCAGCTGTGACACAAGCCACTGTGTGCCCAGGTGTCCTGTTTGACACAACTGGTTCATTCTCTCTGTTGGTTAGAGTTTTGTCACACTTGACAAAAGCTGGAGGGATCTTGAAAGAGAGTAATGCAACTGAGAAAATACATCAGATTGCCCTTAGGCAAGTCTACAGGCTATTTTCTTGACTGATAATTGCTATGTATAGAGGGTCTAGCCCACTATAAGTGGTCCTGGGGCATTTACAAAAGCAGGCTGAGCAAGCCAAGAGGAGCAAGTCAGTAAGCAGCATTCCTCCATGGCCTCTGTTTCAGTTCCTACATCCAGGTTCCTGCCATGTGTCCCTGCTCTGACTTCCTCAGTCACAGAGTATAACCTGAAGGTTGTAAACTGAAGTTAACCCTTTTCTCCCCAAGTTGTTTTGGGTCATGTGTTTATCACAGCGACAGAAAGCAGACTAAGACAACTTCCAACTTTGAAATTAGATAAACGTTGTAAACTTGCATTCGATTCTGCCTGCTGTTCTAGGCTTAAAGTCCACTTTAGAAATGTGTTTTATTAATATTTTCCACAAGAGAAAATGCAGACATGACCTGGAGGCCAGCCTACTCTGCACATGAGCCTCTAAATAAGAGTGTACCACACTCTTGAATAGTCCCCAAAGTCAGAACACTGAATTCTGAAGTAGCATCAGGAGTAGTAGTTAGCTGGCCTGCTGACAAGTCTGCGCTCTTTCTGTTTCCTTTTATGTGCTTTTCCCTTGTGGCTTGGTTTTAGAGAGGTGCTTATTTGGAAGTAATTTACTGTTATCACTTAATTCCTCTATTGTTAGCTAAATGCTAACTTTTCATCCTATCTTTTGGCTGTTTATTTGAGGTCCTATTTATCATAGTTCCTCATGATAATATTCCTCTGTATAATTTTTAAAGCGGAATTCCTTATATCTCACTTTACATATCAGTTTTGAAACTGAAAATAACTGACCAGTTCCATTGCTCACATTTATTGAACAGTAGCCAACTATTTTAGAATACAATCATTATTTCATTTTCAGGTTAAAACTTTCTCATGTAACAAAGTGTCATTTTTACTGCACCAGATACACTTACTATATATTTTATACTTATACATAGAACTGCACTTCAGCATTGGACTTTGACTTTAAGTGGAAATTTTGCTTATGTTACACTTTATTTACAGTATCAACCTAAATGTTTGTAAATCTAGAGAGAATGTTTCCCATTATTCTCCTATGAACAAAGCACAGCTCTCAAAGATAAGCCATACATTTATAATTGCAAAAATGTCAACACAAATACATTTTCAGAATCTTTACATATTACTTAAGACACCCAGAAAGAATGCACTGATGAGCCATGGTACTCAATAAAAGTCTTTAGCCTACAGTCTGGATGTTGAGTGCAAGCTTAATGTTTATTTTGCAGAATGGCCGAACATTTCTTCAGGCTTCAGATGAAGTCAAGCCATGACCTGTTGGTCAGTGTCAGAGGTCCACACATTTTGGTCTGGAGCTTGGTTTCTTGTAGAAGTCTCCAGACTCATGTTGATGTCCACTAGGGAAACATAAAATGCACAATTAAAAATGAAATACAATTGAAATTTTTGTAACAAAGATGTTTATGAACTATCAGTTATCTCACTCTCAGTAGTGAGACCTTTGTATGCAAACAGTATTGCATACAGCAGTTCTTAACAGCAGCAAAGCTATTCTTCAGCATTTGAATCAGTTTTCACTGATTTAAAAAAAAAAAAAGGGAGGGGGTTGGACCAGTGATATGGTGCAGCAGATAAAGGCACTTGTTGCCAAGCCTGACATCTTGTGTCTGATCCTGTAACACACGTGGTGGAAGGAGACAATCAACTTCTGCAAGGGCATATCTTCTGCCTTCCACATGTGTATTTTGGTGCATATGTCCTCATCCAATCACATAATCTCCATAGTAAACAAATCGATGTAAGTTTTAAATTTAAAACTGGATTATCAAGAAATAAACATGTTGTGGTGGGACCTTGAATGCACAATACAAGTGAAAGGAACCACTTCTAAAAGCCACGTGTGGGCTGAGTTCTGCTATGTGACAGTATGCTGTGGGCTAAGTATAGAATATACTTATAAAACTCAGTGGCTTCCTGAGTTTTGAGGAAAGTATGAATCGGTTAGATGGAATGCAGAGACTATTGCATTGTATGTGAAGTTCATGAAACTGATATTATCTATGAAACACAACCATTGCTTGAAGACATCCAGGGCTCACCAGTTAGCATAAAGCAAAATAGATGAAAAAAACCCTGAATTTTCAACCTGAAGAACAGTAAGTCTGACAGAGGAAGAGAGTGACAACTGTTCTTAAATAAAGGACTGTCAGGTGGGAAAGCCATCAGACCTCTGCAGTTTAATGCTGCTGTACTCAGCTGTTAAAAACAAGAAAATTTGCAGGTAAATGGGTGGAACTAGAAAACATCATCCTGAGTGAGGTAACCCAGACCCAGGAAGAAACACTTGGAAGGTACTCACTTACAAATGGTTATTAGCCATATAGTACAGAATAATCATACCGGAAGCCACAGACCCCAAGAAAAAGTAACAGGGCAGGCCCAAGGGAGGTTGCTTGAATCCCACTCAGAAGGGGAAATAGAATAGACTTCAGAAGTAATGAAGTGTAGGAACTTGGTGGGTGATGGCGTGGATAGGGGATCAGATGTGGGGAGAGTGGAGGTGAGAGGTGAGAGGGCTGGGAGACAAGAAAAATGGGGCATCACTGAGAAAAGACAGGACAGGTCACCTGGGAGGATATGTGGGTGACTCTAGCTGAGACTCCTAGTAGTGGGGGACATGGAGACTGAAGTGGCCACCTCAAAGCCAGTCAGGATTTCCAGTGGAGAGAGGGGCACATTAAACCACCCACAAAACCTTCCACCCCTAATTTACCCTACCTACAAGAAATGCAG